CCATTTTTCAATTTTCAAAGACGTCAGTTGTACTATTAGCTTCACGTCAGTGTGTTAGAGATTGTGCCCTTTCGTTCAAATTGTGAATATTGTGAATAGGCTGTCAGTCATTTAAAGAGAGCATCAGGTCGGTTTTCAGTCTCAATAAACCCGTCAGTGTGAGCATACGTATAACTCGTATACATAAAATTTGGCAGTTTGATCTGTCATACTGACAGATTGAACCCATATATGTTACCTTTTGACCAGTTGATGACCTCGAGGTATGACCTGTGTTTTGACAGCAGTTCAAGCGTACAGGGTCTGATTAGCTTGTACCTGGCTATCACTCCATCACTTTGATGTTCTCTCTTCTCATAAACATGCATTAACCTTTCACGCTGGACGACGGAGCATCCATACGTGTCTGACAGTGTACAGTATGGGACTATATATGCCCTTTATCTTGTTTGCAAATGAATCGTTTTATTCCCTTCTATCCTTCGACCAACACCCGGTGTCTGATATCACGGTGACTCACACGAGTTTTTGTGTTTTCATATGTTTATATTAGGAGAAGATATGACGAACTCGACGTAAGGTTCTTATCAATTACTGTTAAGTCCATGCTCATCTTCGTCTGCATCTCTTCCACTATATCAACAGCGATGCTGTCATTATCACGTTACATATGAAATAAGATCTCCTACTGTAAAATTTATCTTTTCTTTAACTTAAATGAGGATACTTTTATAGGATATTGTCTGGAAGATGATGAGTTAATGAAGTAGTAATACTAAACAACGAAGCAATGAAACTGAAGCTACTTAATACAGTTCAGTGGCTGTGCAAGATGCCTTCATGAGGTAACTCTCATTTTAGGACTCGTTCAAGAAATAAAATTAGAATTTTTATTGATTTCTTTCCGAAATGTTCTTAGACAGGGAAAAGTGACAACAGTATGATGTGTAATCGGAGTAGACTTTTCTTTAGGTTGTCTTCCCGTATAGAGGGAATATTATCATGCAGCGTTGTGCAAAATCAGTTGTTAATATTCTATCAAACCCTGTGAGAGTCGGTGCTACGGGTGCTACGGGTGTTACGGGTGTTACGGGTAGGGCAAGACATGCTCACCTCGCAAACACCTGGTGTCAGCATTGTTTTAAGAGACTTTCTCCATTGTTTTGTTTTATTACGTCCAGTGATTTTTTTCGGCAGGAAATCAGACTGAATATTCTCTGCCATTTTGTATGTATTTGAAAATGTAACGATCGTATCATTTCTACCTTCGTCTTCTTCGTGTTTCATCTGAAAATAACGAAGTAGTGACTATAATGCCGACATATGTTTCTGTGTCTTTCTACAGTCTACTCAGTGTATAAGGTCACAAATAGACTCCGTAAGATAAGACTTTTAATGTTATCACGGTGTTTAAAATTTCACATGATGCTCACGTGGATGTTTTAACTGTCATATTTTGTTCTCTATCAAGTGTCATTTGTAAAAAGTAATGTTAACTCATCAACCAAAACAACAAACAAAAAACAAACAAAAAATAGACGCCCACATTTTTGGTCAAGTAAAATTGTAGTGTACAGATACGTTAAAAACGAAGCCTTGTTGAAACTGCAAGATCGACAAGCTTTGAGTTCGATTCCAGCCTGGATATTGATTAAAATCCTCTTTGCCCTCCCCCCAGTCCTAATCAACAATGTCCTTAACGGTCATTCCAATGGTCAAGATGTCCACAAGTACCACAGCCAGCATGTACTACGTAGCAACAACAGGTGTAATTGATTGGCCCTTGTGGTTTCCCGTGAAGATAATGTGCGATTATTGGTTTAATGAACACTACATGTTAGTTTCTTGGACCCGCATCAACACCTCAGTTGAACAGGCAAGCTCTATTAGCAAAGACTAATTGATTTCAGTGATTGGTCAATCATTGACCACATCTCTATTGTTGTAGCGAGTGTTTGCCCGGATGACAATGATGATTGGGCAAATAATTTATTGTCAAAGGTCAATGAATTAGGGTGATTGTTGTTCGCTAGGACTTGTGAGTTTGGATCAAGGGGTGTTATTATTGTTGTGTATTGCCATCGATAAACCTCATTATCTGTAATTGTGTTTGTCTACGTATGGATATTCCAACGACTTGGGCGTTGTGACGACCTTGACTGAACGACAGGCGTGTTTCCATTGTTCGTAACTAGACATTAGTGTTGTATATCAAACATTGAAGAACGGATGTATTCTCTTTTGAAACATCGAATAATTAGTTGAGGCGGTGTAAAAAAATCTTATAACATAATGACCGAAATTTCTTGAAGGGGTATTTGGATTATTCCGTTATGGCGAAATTGGGTTTGGTTGCTATTCTGAAATCGACAGTATTGATATTATTCATATACTATGCCCCATGTTCACAATATACAAGAACTCCACTTCTCACAGAAACCCATGTCATGATATGAGATGAGGTAAGCTAGTTATGTGTTCGCTTGTTATGTCGAGTTCGGGTTCGATTCCCCGCATGGTTACACTGTGAAGAGCCACTTTTTGGTGTCCCCGTTTTGAATTTGCTGAAACTCTTTGAATTTGATAAACTCTGGTCACTCACATAAATACATTTTGGATACATGATGCAGGAGACATTCAAGCATTAGTTACAAGAAAACGCCATATCTTGAGAATCTGAAATCAATCTTGTTTGTCCCATTTAAGTGACAAAATCATGGCGCAAGAAAAATTTCGTAATAACATTTTTATCAACTAACAAACTCCAATGGTTCTTATCTGTGACATATGATTCTATGAAAATAATCATATTTCAGACTGACTTTCTTGTGTGTGACATGTGTAGGTTACATTTCGTCATTGTCATTTTGAAGTTCATCTTTTATTTGTGGGTACTGAATTTGTTTACCAATGATTTTTTCCAACACCACGTTGCTTGAAGCTGAAGGTCGAGACACGAAACCGTTCCGATTCAGCTAGTTTTATCTCACCGGTATACCAATGTCCCATGGTTCTACCATCGGCCGAGTAGAAGACTACCGTGTATCGACATACAAAACCATCAACCGTCTGAAAGAAGCACGGACAAGATGAACGTTTTTATCTCAGCAGTGGCCCTTGGTTCAAGCATCGATTGATTTTAAACCATGTTTATAGATGTGTTGAACACCCAACTCGGAAGGTAAAGACAATCCAAGTTTACGGATCAATGTCTGCCCCAGGCCTTCCTACCAGACAAGGTACCAAGGTGGTCTCTTCTGTATTGACCTCGACCCCATTGAAGACACACTTGTCTTGCCCATGATTACAAATGAAGAGTGTCTGGTCCTTCAGTTGAACCTCTAAAATTGATGTAGTTTGCAAGTAGAGACAACATTATGCATCTGATCAAACTTTTATACCTCTGCCTTTCTCCACGGTGAAAGCAACAAATGGAGGTTTGCTCTAAAGCGCTAGGCAAATAGTGCTTCTCATTATGTCCTTTCTCAAAGGGTCTACCGAACTCTTATCGATCTGATAGGTAAACTGAGAAAATCAGAATACTTGAGTTTTCTGCGTCGAGTTTTGTTATATCGTGAATGAGACGACTAATATAATTAGACTTGTGTCTAAGAGGATTTGGGAAGTTTCATCGTGCCCTGTGTATCCTCGAAAATCTCTTGAAGCAACATGTATCCTAAAAACATCCCGTGTATCCTAAAACATCTGTCGAAACCATATGTATTCTCCAAAATCTCCCGAAGTCACGTGTATCCTCAAAACTCTCCCGAAGCCACATGTGTCCTCCAAGATATCTCGAAGCCACGCGTACCCTCCAAAATCACTAGAAGCCATGTGTATCCCCCCAAATCACTAGAAGCCACGTCTATCTTTCCAAATCTCTTGAAAAAGTCATGGCAAATCTCCTAAATCTCCCGACGCCATGCGTATCCTCTAAAATCTCTTGATGCCATGTCTATCTCCAAAATGTCTCTAAATTCACAGGTGCGGTGGCGCCTTACTTGGACTAATATGTCTTTGGTAGATGGCAAGAGTGAATATATATGGGAATCATATTGAGGAAACTGTGTTTACTGGAGGAACTAGTGTCTTGTGGGAGCTTACAATGTCTCTGTCTGACATGTGGTTTCAATGTATCCGCCACAAGCATCAAAGGATGCTGCGCGATTGATACTTATCATACTCTGATGCGTTAGAATCCGCATCCCTTCCATGTATAATGTATTCAGTGCGCGCTGCTTACATTACTTTACTTGTAACGCAATCGACTTTGGGGCATATCAAACACATGTTACATTCATTATGCGCGATTCTGGTTAAGAAAAGGTGAGGTTGGGTGATAGGAGATGTAACGTCGCGTTCTAGATTATTGCACTTACACATCGACGTGCATGTACGTGTGTGTGTGTGGTTGTTTTATAACCCTCTCCACATATGTTGGTTTACTACAAGCCGACTAGATGCCATGCCACAAATCGATATCGATACCCCCTGTGACATATTATACAGACTCCTAGTCTGCCATACAGACCCTGAAACAAATATATAATTCGAAAGCCCATACAAGTCTAAAGTATGTTGCAAGATTACCACAGTTTTTGAAAATGAAAAAAGTCTTTAGGCTTCTTTTCATTACATAACTTTCAGTTACGTATGTAACTTAGGAACCGTTTTGTACCAATCCATATTATATTCCATCAATGCCAAAAGTACCTGGTTGACACATGTTATCGTATCTCAGATTGATGCTCATGTTGTCGATCACTGGATTGTCTAGTCCAGATTGGCTTAATACAGGTTGCCGTCATATAGCTGGAATATTGCTGAACGCGGCGTTAAGCAACAACAACCCGTGGCATTTCGTTTAGTGTTATAGGTGCTTCGTATGCCCTTTTATACCAAGTTTACCTTGCTTTCGCTTTATACGTTATACTCCACATGCCAGCCTTTCCCCTTTTCTCTGCTGGCAGATATCTAATGGCTTGCGTCTTGTTTTTCAGAACCGCATGCACTGAAGAGAACGAACTGCTAAATGCCAACTCAATCAAGGTAAGGAGGCAATTACTATCTCGACCAAAATCGATAAATGTTTCCCAATATATCGTTCATGTCTTTGTTGTAAACATCGTTTCAAAACTTAATTACCCCTGTTAAGTCGAGACAAGAGCGGGAATGCAAAGCACCAGCTATAACATCTTACTGCATCTTTTAAATGCATATTCAACGTTCAGCTAATGTGTTTTGTAACAAAGATGCAGGTTTCTTTGCAAAGGTTGACGTTCCTATCTATGTTTGGTACAACACATGGGACTCGCATGAAGAAGGCGGTGGGGTGGCCTAGTGGTTAAAGCGTTTGCTCGTAACGCTGAAGACCCGGGTTCGATTCGCCACATGGGTAGAAAGTGTGAAGCCCATTTCTGGTGTCCCCTCGCTGTGATATTGCTGGAATATTGCTAAAAGCGGCGTAAAACCATACTCACTCACTTTTGCCGCGTTAAACTACCCACACGTGTTACCTATTCATTGTGCAAATCCATGATTTGTTTGTTTAACGTCACACCCAGCAATACATAAATAATCGAGTCTGGACCAGACAATGCAGTGATCAACAGCATGAGCATCTATCTACGCAACTGGGATACGATGACCACCCGATCCCCTTAAGACACGCGTAGGTTGCTGAAGACCAATTCTAACCCAAAATCAGTGATTTAAGGAAAAATGACAATAGTGTGTGTTTCAATAATTGTAGTTTCTTGGTGTCATCTTCAAAGTGTTCCCGTCTGCATTAAAGGCACTCCTAGAAATGATACTCACTTCCCGCTGGTGATATCAGTAAACACATGCTATGTAAATACGGTTACTCCAAGCGCCCACAGCACACACGACCCACCCACTGCAGTTTTAATTGTTAATCTGAGGCAAAGAAAAGTCCACGAAATCAGCTGTGTCACGGAATGTCAATGGGTATTTAAACCATATCATGCAGTGATCGATTGACTATCATTGATACGCTGAGTCACGACATGCTAGATTATCAATCAATGCTGGACCCAGAGGCGCTGGTTGTCAGACCCCCCGCAGCGATCCGAAAGGTCATTCACCTCTCCTTCATACACTTGGAACCGTGTCGTTCCGGTATCGATCGTGTAGCTGTAGCTGTTGCTGTCACTGTCATTGTGCTTGTGTTGACCTTGAATAAACCCAATAACGTTTTACTAGCATATGCATTTGCTTAACTAGAAACATATACTGCTCGGTATGTTTGCGACCCGTGAAGGTCCGGGTTAGAATGAATCTTCTGTAACCCACGCTTGTAGTAAGAGGCGACTAACTGGATCGGGTGGTCAGGCTCGCTGTCTTGGTTGACACATGTCATCGGTTCCCAATTGCGCAGATCGATGCTCATGCTCAATCACTGGATTGTCTGGTCTGGAATATTGCTGAGTGCGGCGTAAACCTAAACTCACCCACTCACGGTATATTTGCTTAACTCGAATAAATAATGCTTGGTATATATGTATAATTTTGCTTAACTCGAAATATACAATGCTCGGTATATATATGTATTTGCTTAACTCGAAACATGTAATGATGGGTGTAATAATCCCAACAGAAAGGTTAGTATGTGTTTTCCGGTTACGTATAACATGCAGACATTTTGATATACACACGTGAAGATGTCAGGCGATATAACAATCGCTTCTTTTTTTCTAATTATTCCCTGAGATAACGATCTTCCATTAATGTTTTGTAAATACATACGTTGAGACATTGAAGTCGTTTATGAAACATAGTCCTCCCCTAAACCGGCTGAAATGTACAAGAACACTTTATTACTTCCGATGGTCCGACCCTCTAAGTTTTACCACACGATGATGAGGGCAGGTAACAACAAAATGGTCGTAAAATAAGTGTTGCGAAGCAACTGCTACACAACATGTAATCAAGAGATCGATTTACCTTTTCTTTTTCAAAATGAGCGTTTCAGTGTTAACAAAAACAATGTGGGTTAGAATGTAAAAGTGACTATTTTGTATGGAAATTGGTACGTGATTTTACCAAGTGTATGTTTCAAGTGATGGGTCGTTATATGGATGTAATACTTCTGATTGTACTCTCTCGATCGATCGTTTAAACCATGGCATCAATTGTAACAACACAACGATTTATGAATATCGGGATTATTAAAATAGTTCTTGGCGCTATTCAGAATTCGCTATGAGTGAGTGAGTATGGTTTTACGCCGCTTTTAGCAATATTCCAGCAATATCAGGGGGACATCAGAATTGGGCTTCACACATTGTACCCATGTGGGGAATCGAACCTGGGTCTTCAGCGTGACGAGCGAACACTTTAACCACTAGGCTACCCCACCGCCCCTGTTTGTGGTAAGAAAGATTGGATGCACATGCAATGTGACGTGGTTGGTGTGTGTCATCGGATCCTGCTGGTCTTGATCCTTGCTCATGATTTCAGTCACCTGTTTGCACTTGTTAGAGTGGGCGGTGGGGTAGCCTATTGGCTAAAGGGTCGCTCGTCACGCCGAAGAATCGGGTTCAATTCTCCACATGGGTACAATGTGTAAATCCCATTTTTTGTGTCCCCCGCCGTGATATTGCTGGAACATTTTGCTAAAAGCGGCGCAAAACTCACTCACTCACTCACAATTGTTAGAGCATCAGTTGCAGACCACAGGTCAACTATCGCTAACAGCGGCGTTAAATAACATTCACTCGCTCATTCGTTTCGAGGTCAGGTACCATAGAGAAGATTGGTACACGGCAGCATTGATATTATCTGTAACTTTACCATTATTAATTACTTGGCAGCAGCATCAATAGGATTAAGTGGGATTAGTGCAGATTTACACGAACCTCCGCATGACGGTCCCGCGCACCTCGGCGTGAATGGCTCTCGAAGAATGTAACAGTTTTTTCTCATTACCGCAAACCGGGTGAGATACCTGCCCAGGAAATGAGACATGGGACTTTCGAGTACACGTGGCCATGTCTTCGTCACTTAGACATGCGTTCGTCACTTACTCGTGGCGTGGTATGATCAACGAATAACTTTCACATCACTTCCTATTCTGCATTGATTTATGGACAACGATGTATAGAGAACGTTCTGGTACTCACGTTTATCTCATCAGTTGAGGAATATATATCACATTGGTATTTTTATTTCGAAAGAGTAATATTGCTTTCCAATCAGAAAATGTCAGCTGATATGACAGATGTATTTGTTGAAAACACAAGATATATTTAACTAGATATTTAATCAGGCAGATAATAAAAGACAGATTATGCATACAGATTCAATACAATTGCAGTGTCCTGAGTGATATTGATCCGCAGCCATTATTCGTTAACCAGGAAATTTGTTCCGGATGATTCCGTGAAGGAACGCTCCCGTGACATTTGAAGAGATTTCATTGTAGTTTTGTTGCCGTTGCTGTCGTTGTTGTTGTGAAACGTTGCACTGAGCAGTGCTCCAGTTATTGATCTGCAAATATTATAGTGATTGACACTATGAGCATTATCTATACAATCCGGATACGATGACATGTGTCAACCCATTCAACGAGCCTGACCACCTGATCCCGTTAGTTGCCACTTGATCCCGTTAGTCGCCAAACATGTGTTGCTGAAGACCTATTCTAAGCATGACTTTACACTGAGGTCTTCGAAGATTTTCTTGGCCGGTTGTGTAGCACAATGACCCAATATTACTTAGACTCCCATGGAAGCACAGTAAGATGATGCTAAAATAAATCCTTAAAGTCATTATAAATGGTACATTATTTCGAGGTCAAAACCAGAAATGTCATGATTGTAAAAAGTTTAAAACAATTTAAAAATTCCTTTTATCGTCTATATATGTACCACTCAGCAAGCCTGACCACCCGATCCTTGTATCCTTGTAGTCGCCCCTGACGACAAACATGGGTTGCAGAAGATCAATTCTATCCCAGATCTTTATATCGTGTACGACTGGTACATGTAAATATTCTTCCCAAAATAAGACAGACAAACATAAAACTATGATTACATGGTATATCTAGATATATTCATCATCGCTTTGAGCTTGTACTTCCATGTAGCATATTGCGACGGGAAATATAGGATGGCCTTTCTCCAACTGTATTTTGTAAATTCCAACCCTGTTCTTGAAATCGTGTTTGACGAAGCAAACAACTCGCTGCTATTTTCAACAGTGCACTGATATGACATTACGTTATTGAAGGCTGCTTCGTAAACAATTGAATATTGTAGTGAGCAAGCTGTCAACACCTTACTGAACATGGGTTGGTAAATACTTGACATTGACAATCTGGCCTTAAACACATTGGCGTTACATTCAAGGCGTTAAATTCATGTTCAATATATACTGCCCATCAAAAGTTTAGACTCACTTGTGTAGATGTAGCAACTTTATTCAGTCAACTGTTCTAAACTAGATTTTGCAAATTATTCTATACTGTTTAAAGGTACTGTTTAAACATGAACTGATGTATTGGAAAACAAATTCGTAAGGTGGAAAAGCTTATTGTCATTAGTTCAATGAATGATGAAACTCAGTGAAAATTGGCAAATTCTTAACAAAACTTTACGCCAAAACGCCGCTGTTCAAATGCACGATATGTGCACATGTTTTGGAGCAATATGACGCATGATCCTCGTACAATTCATCTGCACAAGGTTTGCAGTTGGTTCCCCCAAGTTAGTGGAGAAATTCATCTTCGATGTAACCATATATATATATGCATAACATATAGTGAGTGCTTTAAGTGAGTCTAATTACAGACCGCCGCCGTATAGCTGGAATATCGCTGAGTGCGGCGTAAAACTTTAAGTGAGTCTAAACCTTTGATGGGTTGTATATATAATTGAATGCATCGTGTTCACGGTATGGTGTTATTTATTAGAAAGCGTCAGCATAGAGCACGCGGCATATGGCAAGTAAACTCCATGTTTTTATAACACCTATGTTATCCCCGAATCTGGCACCAGCGTACATGCCAACCGTCGAGCGCCCTTTGAGATCTGTCAGAAACACTTCGGAGTTTGCTACACAAACACGCTTTTTTTACTGATCAGTGCCTGTTAAGTGTGGATGTTGTAAAATGTGTAAAACACCTAAAGGAAAATAGATGCTCGTTATCTCTTATTCGTTTACTTTTCTTAAGTAAAACACCTTAACACTATTTGGTGTTACAAAGAAAATACCACGAAGGTATGCGAGACACAGGGATGCATACAGATGCACGTCGATAAGGTATGATGAGTATGTTGTTACCGTATTGTTTACAAAGTAATATCTGCAGGAACATGTATTCCATTTGAGCAGGGATAGCCTAGTGGTTAAAGCGTTGGCTTGTCACTCTGAAGACCCAGGTTCGATTTCCCATATGGGTACAATGTATGAAGCCCATTTCTGGTGTCTCCCGCCGTGATATGCTGGAATATTGGTAAAAGCGGCGTAAACCCATACTCACTCACTCATTCACCCACATGAGCAAACGTATTCATCTAGTGTCTCGTGTGTTACTTACGCTAGTGCTTTAGGTATACACGTACTTGCTGTAGCTCAGTGGTCGGAGTGTTGACTTTGCCGGGTTCGATCCCGTACAATGTGGAAAAAGAAAAATATGTTTGAAATCAACGTGGAACTCAATTCACACATTTCGTTTCTTTATACGGGGCTGTTGAAATGCCGCGATTCGTTATGCAAGGGGGGTCATGAGTTCTTATTCCAGATTTGCCAATATTATGTTTCTAGTTTCGTCAGCATAGGAATCTTGCGCGTAGATGTCACCTTTCATAAGTCAAGTGGTAAACATGACCTCGGGCTTTCCTCCAAAGCTGACTGGGCGGTGGGGTAGCCTAGTGGTTGAAGCGTTCGCTCGTCACACCGAAAACCCGGGTTCAATTCCCCACATGGGTTCAATGTGTGAAACCCATTTCTGGTGCCACCCCCCCCTCTCCCCGCCATGATGTTGCTGGAATATTGCTAAAAGCAGCGTATAACTAAACTCACTCACTCCAACTCTGACTAGCCGTGATACAATGGTAATCTCTTCAAAGTACCGTTAAACCAAACTCTCTTACTGAAAGTGGTCTTGTCTGAATTCACAACCCACGGAAGCCAGGTTTAATATTTATATTTTCTAAGCATGTTTTATGATTGCAAGTGCCAGATGGGCTTTTGTCTATGGCTCACAACATATGTGTTCCTTCCCGCTCACTGAGTACATATCGATACGGTAAACAATACTCTCTTTGAAACTCATCCTCGAACCTATACACAGCGCTTTGTAATCTGTAAAACCCTGACGTCATGGATTGAATACGCACTTAATAGTGCCTCATCAATTCCAATTTGTTCCCCTCTTCTACAAAAATAACAAAGCTTTTTCCTGCGTCTATTTCAGTGTACCGCAATATATACATACCAATAAACTACGATCACCTGGTTCCTACAACGTTTTCATGTTAAAACTGCCTATTCTAAATGAAAATATTATACCCTGTAACATCACAACAGACACACATATCGATTTTCTGTCTTCTTATATCACCGTCGGTGTCGGTGTGAACTTCCACGTGGCTTGTATAGCACGTTCACATCGACCCCGCTGTCGTTGTAGGGGTAACGGCGGCAAGTTCACGTTATACAAGTGCTGTTTAGTTCTACACGTAACATGTGTTCGTTTGCCTATCGTCCGACATCCAAGGACGCAGGTTCTTTTCAACGCGGCGTTTTATTGAGTTTTACTGCAAAATGAACGTTTTAATAGCAATTAATGGGTCTGGGATCACTACTGGATTACTACCTAAGGGACCGTTTCAAGAAATGTATCTCATTTTTCACGATTACTTGAATTCGTTTGGTCATCCAAATAGATCGGGAATCAATAAGACGAATGGAACTGTTTTTATTTGTACATATGTGTAGTGGCAACAGAAGGGGTATTTACACTTTAAAGGGATTATATGTTAAATCTAACCAAGCTGGGCGTGTATATTTGCTCAATGGAGTTGCGGCTTCAGCAACTCATGTGTAGAAGTCGTTAACATTGGGCAAACGGGATAGTGTGGTCAGATTGCTGATGTGACTGATGGGCATCGTCATATCCAAATTTGGCAAAATCGATGCTCATAATGTCAGTCACTGGAATGTCTAGCATAGATCGATAATTTACAAACCGCCATGAAATAGTTGGCTTGTTGGTAGCGGCATTATACAACATCATATCCAAATTTGACCAAATTGATGCTCATGATATCAGTCACTGAATTGTCTAGCACCGGATCCATGATTTACAAACCGGGCCAGTTGGTGACGGCTTTATACAAGACACACGCGCTCACAATCACACTCACACAAACAAACGCACCCTCGCGCACGCACGCACGCACAACATGAACACAGCTCAAACCTATTCCCATACCCGATACTGTACTTCCGGCAAACATGCATCTCCAAAAACACGTGCAAACAAGCAAGGACATGACGTAAATGAGTGAGTGAGTGAGTTTAGTTCTACGCCGCACTCAGCAATATTCCAGCTATATGGCGGCGGTCTGTAAATAATCGAGTCTGGACCAGACAATCCAGTGATCAACAGCATGAGCATCGATCTGCGCATTTGGGATACGATGACATGTGTCAACCAAGTCAGCGAGCCTGACCACCCGATCCCGTTAGTCGCCTTTTGTGGCAAGCATGGGTTACTGAAGACCTATTCCACCCTGGATCTTCACGGGTCACATGACGTAAACAGACAACACACATACACAGCTTACGTTCTCCAGCCAGGTCGCCTTCAATGTCACGTCAGGCATCTCTTTGGATTGATGCACACATTTCCAAAACTTCAGCGCTTCTTCTTCCGTCACTCCCTTAGATCCGTCTCAGAAGACGGCAACTGTCGTGACAATCTTCTCGTCAGTATTCCACGCATCCACAGGGAGATGTATACACGAAGCCTATTTCCCCTGGCCGTTTGCTAGTGGCAGCTCGTTTAAGCTGAATGCATACGAACAATGAAGATCTGGTCCGTGGGTGGAGGATCCCGACGATGGAATTACTTACAGATTTGGGGAAATTGGGAATTTCGTTGTTTCAGGTTCTAAAATGGACCCTATGTGGACATGCGCTTTGATATTGAGATTGCCAAGCCTAAAATTCATTGAACACAAGGTTTAATCAGATTCAGATCCTGAATGTATTCAAATATTGTTTTCGAAAGAGAATTACTTATCATTTTCCCCTCACTCATAGCTCTGGAGTGCGACTTACTTGACACTTACCGCCATATAGCTGGAATATTGCTGAGTGCGGCTTAAAACTAAACTCACTCACTCACTACTTGACACTTACTGCCATATAGCTGGAATATTGCTGAGTGCGGCGTAAAACTAAACTCACTCACTCACTACTTGACAATTATCGTCATGTCTTATCTTCGATTAATAATTATCGGAACTTTGCATTATAAGATTTTCGTTCATACTTCTCCCCATACAAGTCATTATGAAGACATATGCTATCTCTGCTTAATGTCCTTAAACAAAGAAATAAAATAAAATATGAGTGACATAATGTGATGTCAGTTTTTTAAAGTGTCGTTATACTAACAAAATACATGTATATGTGAAAACACGTTTCATTGATAAAATATCTTAACTGCTGGCGTGAGTGAGTGAGTTAGTCACTAAAGAGTATTTTAGTTATCTGGAGTCGGGTCATCTAGTGTGGGAGAAATCCTATTTGATGCAGGTGTCAAACACTGGCATCTGCCACGGATATGGTTAGAGGAAGCTAATCATTATAACAAAAGCTGTTCCGTCATTTAGACCAACAGAAGGATCAGAATTAGGGTCATCCAAGACAGAGGCCCCACACGTCCCCCATGCTCCACACATTGAAAGTGTGATAAATAAATGGAATATATCGAGTGCTACCGACATATATTGTTTCTGAAGTACAATAGTACAGTTAACATTTAAACGTTTTTCAAGACTCGGAGCTTTGACAAACTTTGCCAATTCTACTTTTTTAATTCCAAACTTTTCTGGCTCTGAAATGAAAACCTTTTCGTTTTGTATTTCGCCTAATTAAATTAAGATTTAGCGGCTGAGATTCCACAACACGAAAAATAACGGAAATGGAGCATAACTGACTGGGAAGCTTAACATGTGATCGTTTAAACAGGCGTGTTCCTCATTGAGCGCGTTCCGCGCGGGACTGTTAAAATACTTAAAGGCCAATTTTACCTGGGAAGTTTATGATTATGTTATTTAAGATGTTGATTGGGGCGTGATTATCACCAGTTGGATAAGTAAATGCTAATTAACCAGGAATTTAAGTGATTTATAATTTGGAGATTGATTCTGGTACATCTAACACGATGAAAAAGTTCCCGTTCACATTTACCTTGGATTCTTGTGATCTCTACTTGTCGAAGTTTACGTTGTGGTCGTACCTTTACGAAGAAATGCATTGGAAGTGTTATTTTGTGGGCAAGTGATAACGGAGGTTAATTAACATGTTAAATTACGGCTGAACGGATTTATTGTTTGTGTTTTAACTTGATTATCTCGTTTGTATCGACAAATGAGTATTGGGTGGACGTAATTTGTCACCCGCGTCATCGTAAGTCTTGAAGACGTGGATCTTTGATACAATATCCTATAGTTGGTTATCTTGCCCCAAGTCCTTTCACTCACTCACTCACTCTGCACAGGGTTGTTTATGACGCCGAATCGATTAATGTCACTCACTCACTCACTCTGCACAGGGTTGTTGAAGACGTTATTTTAACTCATCGCTCATTTTTTCAGATGACCGAAGCCCCGTTTGGGAGATCAGATTCTGAGGATGACATCGTCGAAGACTACGATGATGTGATGACGATAAAGTCGACGTGTCTGCGAAACCGGACAGCCCTAGAGAAGGGTCTACTGGTCATTGTGTTCCTAGCGCTAGTGGTCATCATTGGCTTGGCTGTAGGATTGACCAGACCCAGGGTAGTTCCGGGTAAGGGTCGGTAGTCTTCTATTTTTACATTATCGGTGGTGGTATTTGACGCATTTGTGAAAAATATTGATAATTATCATGATGTCATCTCAAAAAAATTATTAAATAAATAATTTATGTTACTTTAAAAGCAAAAATAACCTGTGATCATGTTCAGTTTAGATTGTGAAAAAAATATTTATTTATGTGATGCCAATGACTTAGGGCTTTACTCTGCGATTAGTGTATTTGTTATATTATAGAAATCATTTAAACCCCAGTGAATTTCTATTAAAAGTGACCTACAATTACAATTTCAAATATACACTTAAAACATGATCAGTAATGGTTACTTTAGCACCTAAGTAAATAAACCATGAATATACTAGTACACGTTTTAATGAAATATCTGCATGGTTCCTTATTTTCATGGTTTGATTTTCTTTTTCAATGTTTTCAATGTTGGGACAGTTTTGTTCTTAGGATGTCGATAATTATTCTCTTCAACACGCAAAACACATTGCATCAATCAACGATCTATTTCAACAATGTAACAGAGTTTGAACTTTTGTAACCTACGATGCTATTCAATAGAAACGTCGGTTTAAGAACAGAAAGAACACACAAGAAGACAAACCGTTCTTTCTAAATTCCAAATAACTGATCAAATTGACTTGTGCCGGAAATGAATATGCTCCCCATACCATCGGCTCCTGACAGTGGCACCGTCAGACCTGAGCGCACCCTCCTGCCAGCGGGGGACTCAGGACCAGCTTCAGCAGCCGGATCTCTTGTTATACAAAGAAAGTAGTTGTAATTCGCCACAGAAACAAAGTTAATTCACCCGCACTTCCCCAGCCTTCTGGCCCTGGCATGCCCGGTATTGAAGTGACAAGTGTTAATGAATTATCATTGGGAAATCAGTATATAAAGTGTTCTGTGACGCTGGCGTAACAGACCTCAGGACGAGGACATAAGCCTATGGTGCCAGTGCTATAAACGGTTGGCCACGGTAGTTCTAGACAAAAGGGTTTGGCGTTTGGGACAAGAGTCTTGGATTCTTAACAAGGACTGGTTGGAGAAACTATTCCATTCTGTACCAAGCTCCCTGAACAAATTAGAAATGACTTGGATCTTGATTTGAACAGAGAGTTCGTTGAAGAAGTATTCTAGATTGTGTTTTTGTAACACTGATTGGAAGCGTATTGCTTTTGTGTCTTTTTGCATCTGATATTGATCAGATAAGCTTAGACACTGGGTATACAATCAACAAGTTTACTCAGAAATCAAGTGGTCAAGTGTAACCCGAATCATAGAATACAGGGTCAAAACGACATCCAGACCAACATGTTCTTTGTACAACGGAGAACTGCCTTAGTGGTTTTGTGGATGGTGTTATCTCCTTTACCAATCCTCCGTTCGTTTCTTTTAGTGGAGACATACTGCAAGACCCCCGCCTGTATACAGGCAGCAAGCTCCATCCTTAACGCCATGGACCCCAGCGTCGACCCCTGCGACGACTTCTACCAGTACGCCTGTGGGGGATGGGAGCGGCAGTCCCCAATACCCCCGGGCTATCAGATGTGGGATAGATTCCAGGAGTTGTCTGGAAAGAACCTGTACGTGTTGAAGAATCTTATAGGTATTTATAACCCCACCTTTTACTGGTTTTCTCTTTCTCTTCTTTCTTATATTTTAACGTTTTATTGATAAATTGATGTCATATTATGAATAATAAATTCCATACTTAGTGTTTGTACCCGTGAAGTTCCGGGTTGGAATTGGTCTTCAGCATCCCATGCTTGTCGTAACCAACAGGACCGAGCGGTCAGGCTCGCTGACTTGGTTGACACATGTCGTATCTCAGTTGAGTAGATCGATGCTGATGCTGTTGATCACTGGATTATCTGGTCAAGGCTCCATTATGTACATACATCTGGAGTGCGGCGTTAAATGAAACAAAAATGACATTGAAAACATTGCAAGACATGTGTAAGAATTAATATATTTTAATATATTTCAAGTATTCATTGATATATTTGATGTGTCACTGTAAGAATTGAAAATACGTAGTCAACATGAGATATTCACTCGAGTAAATCTGGGGCTTTAGGGTAGTCTATTGGTGAAATGCTCGCACGTCACGCTAAAGACCCGGGTTCGATTCCCCAAATGGGTACAATGTGTGAAGCCCATTTCTAGTGTCACCCATTGCTGGAATATTGCTAAAAGCGGCGTAATACTAAACTCACTCGAGTGAATATGGCAAGTTTGATATGATATTCTACCAAGATTTCAAAGAATGTCATACCACTTTCTACCAAGAGGGGCGTTGGGGAAGCCTAATGGTTAAAGCGTTCGCTCGTCACGCCGAAGGCCCGGGTTCTATTCCCCACATGGGTACAAAGTGTGAAGCCCATTTCTGGTGTCCCCCGCCGTGATATTGCTGGAATATTGCTAAAAGCGGCGTAAAACTAAACTCACTCACTCACTCAATTCTACCAAGAAGTCAGAACCTTGCTCAGAACGTGTTTGATCAGGGTTACAACATACCGATGCATCAGAGGAGAAACTGTAGACTAAGGCTTAGTCTCTGAATATATATAATTTTGATAGTAACAATCAAGCCCATTTATATTGAAAAGGAGCCCTAGGTGGACCGAGGAAATCTAGACTTGCTTTATTTAGGGCTTTAGCACTGCAGAGAGGGCTTGGCAGTAGGGAAAATAATGTGGTTCAGGGACTGTGAGACAGACTAGAGAAACTGGTGCCCAATTTCGACTTGTACCACATGCTTCCGTGTTTGTCGGGTGATCAACTGAAATATCTTCTATGTGTCTATGACGGTGCCACCGATCATCTTTTCGCGGACACCTGATATCATCACTGTATGATGGTGATCTGGACCCACAAAATCTGCTTTTTGCACAGATGTCTTATTAATATTCAAATATTTTAAGTCCTTCGCCGATGTCAATAAAACAACTTCATTACTCTAATGAGAAAGTTTCAAAACGACTGTTAATCAATGACTACTTTAAAATGATTCCAAATCTTAAATCCAATTCAGAAACCAACTCAATGCAGGGTGAAGCTATTGGTAAAGTGAAGCACTTGTACAGGAGTTGCATGGAGGAGAGCGTCATCAACCGGCAGACAACTCTTGACGACTTCCGGGCAATCATCAAGTCCGTCGGTGGCTGGTCACTTGACGAAGATGACAGCGCTAGCTCATCATGGGACTTCGGTTCAGCTTTAGAGAGAATCCACTCCTATGGAGCCTGGCCACTTTTCCATGTTAAGGTCGACATTGACGAAAGGCACCCAACTGAAAGACATATTCTCAAGGTAGGAACTGAGGTTTTGGATTTGCTTCGAAAGAAAATATCTTTTCGTAATAATGATATTTCACGAAATATTCCGAGGAGATTTGATTCTTTTTGAATACATTTTTATGTTTTTGTAGATTAAAAATGGCTTGAATAAACACACGTGGAATAGCATTATTAATTCTGATCCGATGTAATGGCGAATATCATACAGAAAAGTGTGTTAGATGTATGTTGACACAGGTTTATGAAAACACTTAAAACCTTTAAACACCATTTAACACTTTTTGATTGGTAAGGCGTTGCAAAAATACATATACATTACTTATACATCGATATTGCATCCTATCAAAATATAAGTGTCGAACCACAGGGGCGGTGGGGTAGCTTAGTGGTTTTAAAAGCGTTCGCTCGTCACCCGGGTTCAATTTCCCACATGGGTGCAATGTGTGAAACCCATTTCTGATGTCCCCCGCCGTGATATTGCTGGAATATTGCTAAAAGCGGCGTAAAACTAAACTCAATTACTCACTGTCGAATCACAAATGAATGTTTTTTTATGGTCGCTTTTATCTCATTTTTCCTCGTTTTCAGTTTGACATCGGTCAGACAGTGCTGCCATCCGATCTATTCCCCTCAATAAAACAGAATCCTGTCAATCCAACCCCGTCTCCATCATCATCCCCATCTCCATCCACCAACACGTCGAACACCTCGACACCAACCCCCACACCAACACCGACACAACAACAGCCAAAGAAGACAGTGGAAGAGGTGAGTCGACTGTAGCACTGTTGAGTATGTAGCAAAACACATTAAGTCCAAATTTGAAGGATATTTTCAGAACCTTTACGGTAACAGAGGAACTGGTAGTCTATACTACCAGATTCTGTGTTGCACCATGCTAATGGTCTTCTGATTTCAATGAACTGCCTCCGTGGTGTAGTGGTTAGAGCGTCCGCCCGGAGAGCGGAAGGTCGCGGGTTCAATTCCCGACCGCGTCATACCAAAAGACGTTTAATTGTACTTGTTGGTCCCTGCCTGGCGCTCGGCATTAATGGGTACAACAAGGACTGGTCGACTCGGAGTCAGTATAATGTGTCTGAGTGGGGTATTCATGCTTCACTGCGGCATGGTATCTCAGTGGGCTAGCACTATAAAACCAGCTTCAGTCTGGGCTAGTACAAGCAGCCGCACATACACATACATACGCATGCACGTCGTCATATGAGCGAAATATTCTCAAGCACGACGATAAACCCAATTTCACCTCACCTCAACTGATTTTAATGGAACTTGCTCTCGTATGTTGGGAATCCTAACCTGTTGCAATTTTAACTAATGCACCGAGCATAAAGTGATTAGTTAGTATGAGAATTAGATGAGCAGTGCTGACGTTTCGGGTCAACTGTAGTCTAGCAAGGGAGCTGATGGAGGCGCTAATGTGGTAATCGTTGCTTATTTCGAGATTACTAATTGTTGAAAGACACATTTAAGATATTCATTAACTTATCTAACATGTAACATGAGAAGTTTCTCAAGTGAATAAAAGCTTCTTTATTTAATGGCCACTACCTGTATTTGCAAGTATGTCATCTGCTTGTAATGAAAGAACCGCACTTTACCTTCTCATGACACCAGTGTAAAGTCGAAACTATGTTACTGAGTTCTGTCTTTGAAACTATTCCTTGACGCAAAGCAGAAGCATTAACCTTGGAAAAAAGTAAGCAATGTCGAAAATGAAATCACAGTCTGCTTGATGCACTTTTATCATGCAGGGTTTTCATCAAGAAGTATGTAATAAAGGATGAGACCACTCGTGAGCGTGTACTCGGTCTTCGAACCGGGCTTAAAACCTTATTAATCCTGTAGACAAAGAAGCTATTTGGTCTCGAAATAGCTAGTGATTGTGGTTTGATGCTCCAAGTAACAGCATACGTCAATGGGAACACAAGGACTTTATTGCATGATCAGGGTGATCTATTTTTTATTTGAGTTAGAGTTGCACTATTTTTATACTATTTAGTCATGAACACACGGCCGTCCAATGTTCCTATTTCTCATTTTGCTTTCTGATTTGGGGGGTAACAAGGTAACCTTTAATTATTTTTGACATACTTATACATATTCTGACATTTCTGCTTCCAATCGATACAGTGCCGGAACGTTCGTGTAATTACAACGGCTATGTGTGGAGATAATAGCTGTCTGATAATCTTTCAGGTAAAGAAGATATTTCTGGAGGAGACTGTCCATATTTTAATGGCGTTTGGTATGTCAAAGAAAAACGCTACTGAGAGAGCCGAAAAGTTGTTGGATGTGGAAATCGCCATTGCTTCGGTACGTATGACGTCATATCCGGGTATACCGGAACTACCATTGCACTCGAATCACAGCTCAAGTCAATGCATTATTGAACCATAACGGGTATTCCGATGTGCGCCTTTTCGTTAATGAACCTGAAGTGATGATTACAGTAGGATAAAGCTATATAAAGTATACCAGCCGGTCTGCCTTGGCTGTATCGCTCGCTCGTCTTGAGAGCAAAGGACATTCAGTGTCTGTGCACTTTTTACATTTAAGCAGATACCATATAATAATCTATTATATGGTCTCTGATTTAAGCCATGTATGTCCGGACTGTAATGTTCGCTGTATCTTAAAAACTCCATAACAAATTACTACAACAATTTTATTTATGAAAAAAACTGTTATTATTACGGACTTTTTTCTTCCAGGCTACACCAAACACGTTGCACTCACATGACAGAATGAGGCTATACAACGTGAAATCAATAGCGGAACTGGAGAAAAATTATACTCTGGTAAGACAGCTGATAGTTTGCTGTTGCTGATTTAATAGACATACACTGACCATCGGAATTTGGATATTTTAATTGAATCAAACTTTTATGCTTTGAGTTAAAAAACCAGCATATCAAATCATAAGCTATGGGTATATAGCACGATTACCTTCAATTATCCGTTTCTGAATTTTTCAAATGTTTGAATGAACAGATGCAACGTTTCAAATTTGTTTGGGGTTTGTTGTCTTTCTTTTGCGCAGTAGGGTGGCAGATTGTGTGCGTAAGCTCAGCGCAATGTCCAGGTTGGATTGATTTCCACAATGTGTACAGGCAGTGTATGGTGGGCCATGGTAACATTGCAAGAAACGTGTAATGCCGAACTCGACCGTGTCCGTGTCCGTGTTTAACTTCCGTGTTTAACTTCATGCCGTGTGTCCATGTTTAACTTCATGCATGTCTTCATACTACTCTTGCTCAGAAGGTGTTCGATCGAATTACAGCATTCAGGGCCTCAGTGAAGCTTTCAAAATGTTTTATGATAGACAGGAGGGGGAAATTTCAAACTTTGGCCCATCAGTGACAAACATTATGTCCAATACAATTCCCAATTTCGACTTTTACCATACGTTCCGAAGTTTTCTGGTAAACACTTGACTAGTCTTTATTATGTTTATGACGGGTGCCACCGGTGTGGCAGGATACGCTCACCTTTTCGTGAACACTATTGTCATGAAACATATGCTCATGATATGATTGGGGCGGCGGGGTAGCCTAGTGGTTAAAGCGTTTGCTCGTCACGCCGAAGACCCGGTTCGATTCCCACATGGGTACAATGTATGAATTTCTTCTGTCCCCCGCCGTGATATTGCTGGAATATTACTAAGAGCGGCGTAAAACTAAACGTACTCTCATGATATAATTAGATTTGGACAGTCGACCCTGCCTTTAGCAGACATTTGGTATTATATACAGATTGCAACCTCCTCACTCACTTAATGTCCCACGTCTATTTCCCATGTATATCCGTGGTTATCTCTGTTTGTGCAGACGCCGCTGAGTTGGCTTCAGTACTTGAAGAAGCTGAACTTCGTCGTCACCGATGCAGACTACGTTGTGATTCTTCATCCGCACTACCTCACCATCGTCACTCACATCATCGGGGACTACTTGTCGCGCAAGAATACAACTCAGTAAGTTGCAAATATTGCTCAAGCATGTTCTGTGTACACCTCCCACGTATTCGATTCCCACATAGGTACAATGTGTGAAGCCCATTTCTGGCATCCCCCGCCGTGATATAGCTGGAATAATGATAAAAGGGGCGTAAACCCATACTCACTCACGTCGGTATATAGATCCTTATGTTTTCGGTATTACAGATTAAGGCTCTTAGCATAGATTTCTCTTATAGATTTGTGTTTGTACTGACTTGACTTAATGCAGATTTTCTTAATACACATAGTTCTCAGTACAGCAAATCGTGACTGCGTGCATGCACTGGTTCACATGATGTCAAACATTCAGAATATGAAAAAACCCAGGATGGAATTAACAGGTGAAATGCAAAAATAACCAGATATACGGTTGAACAAGGTTGTCTGCACACGCCATGACGCCTTTGTTTTTAAATCGCAGCTTACATCCCAGTCATGTCATGTGGTATGTAAATGTGTGCCATGTTTCCACAACTTGTTGAAATGTTGTAAATTCATCCGTGGATGTCTTGTTCTTACATATCGAAAAACCTCGCACCAACACACAAAACTGCGCTTTTGTTCTCTTAAAAATAAATTCCATATTTTTTCAAAACGCGTTTCTACAGCCTATATTAATGGTTAATTCTCATCAAACTTTGAACTATAAAATACCGATCAAGTCATTGATGACGTTTGGAAACAGCTGTTAGACTCTTGAGGCAACCTTATTTAGAAATCGCCCGAACTCAGTCATTTTATCATAGATGAAATTAACTGATTCGAGATGAAGGCAAACAAACACTTAGAGAGATCTAGCAGCCTGCTTCAACAACGCATTCATCCGTAAGGTCAAACTGCTTCGCAACGTATTACATCCGTATGGACAAAGAAATGCTGCATGTAATTTTGAGAACAAACACTTCAAAACTGTTCTCGCATTCCAAGGAGGTATAAATTCAATCAGTGCGAGGGGAGATATGTTTAACCAAGAAATCATTTAAAGTGTTTGTAATTTTATGCGAATTAGGCAACTGCTCTGGTGGTGGTGGTGGTTGAAACGAAGCAACTAATGTTGTTACCGCAGATGGTCTTAGATACTTGAACACAGACATCAGGTTTTACCATCAGTGAGGCTGTGTCTTGGTGTGTTGCCCGCCATCTTGAAAAACGTCCCTTGGCACAATGACATGCAACCCTTTGTGATAGTTAGTCCATTAGATAATAGCGTTCTCCTCTGTTCTGCTCTGAAAGCCATCGGTTTCTATAGGTTTTACAAACCACTAGTGTAAACTTTCATGTTACAAAAATGCACTGGCAAAGTGGTAAATTTTAGTATTTCTTAAGCAGCATCACCTGATACCTTCTCGCCCTGAGTGAGTGAGTATGGTTTTACGCCGCTTTTAGCAATATTCCAGCAATGTCACAGCGGGGGACCCCAGAAATGGGCTTCACACATTGTACCCATGTGGGGAATCGAACCTACGTCTTCAGCGTGACGAGCGGACGCTTTACCCACTAGGCTACCCCACCGGCCCCTCCAACCATAAGTGTCCTAGACCACATATGAGAACTGTCATTATATACCAGCTGATAGCAACTGTATGTTGAACATACTTCATTTTATATATGCATCTTTTGTAGTTAAAAACGTACCTCATACCTGACATCTACATTACTTTATCGATTATACCTTGAGTAGAGGCAAGATTTTTGTTTTAAAACCTTTACTGGAATTTCGAGAATATGTACAGATGAGTTGTTATGTCGAATAACGTTGACATTAATCGCAATCGTTGATGTCTCATCGCAGTATCAGATGACCATTAAGTGTTAGTTCTCTAAACTCCTGATTTCCCAAGTGATGCATTAACAGCTTCTCCGTAAGTTAAATTGCTTGCGTTTCGGAAACAGTGAAGATAAAAATGTGTTTTTGAGTGTAAGATTCATCGATCAGCACAGCCTTACAAAGGTTGTACAGACATTTAAGGTGAAATGCTTTAAAAAGCTGGAGCTGAACTTCTTTTGAATTCAAACTTAGGAGAGTCTCTATTAGTACACTGAAATCTTTACTTGTTAAACTTGTTGGTCAAACCCCACCCATTCCGCCTGTATTCCTCACAACAAACCGATCTTTCTATCATTTCTCCCCTGTCCACTCACCCCTAGTCTGTCATACAGACCCTAAAACAAATATATCCAAGAAAGCCCATGCAAGTCTAGAATATGTGGCAAGTCTAGATTACCACAGTTTCAGGAAAAAGGTTTCTGGGCTCCTTTTTATTTTATGTTTTAAAAATTATGATTTAAGAAAATAACATTTCTGTAAAATATGTTCATTTCAGAGACTATATGTTAGTATGTTAGTCTATTCAACCCCATCGCACCCCAACCCCATCGATCCCCAGCCCCGTCCCCACCCCCTCCTGTCTCCCACCCTCGTCCCCACCCACGTCCCCACCCCATCGTTACCCTCGTCCCCACCCACCCCCCATCCCATCCCCACCCCATCATCCCCACCCCATCCGACCCTCATCCCCACCCCATCCCCATCCTCATCCCTATCCTCATCACCGTCCCCACCCCGTCCCAACCCACATCCCCACCCTCATCCCCATCCTTATCACCGTCCCCCCCATCCCCACCCTCGTCCCAACCCTCATCCCGATCCCCTCCCGGCAACAACTTGCGACATCCATACTACGTGACTCACAGTTATATAACAACAAGGTCGATAGCTTGTGCCACAGCTCTTGCACAACAGTACCAAATATTGCCGTTAGATTGAATTTTCCAATTAACAATGTGCAGTGTACCGACGTGGCCATTGTTTTCGTGGTGATGTGACATTTCACGGGTTTCCAGGCTGAAAGCAGACTCTAATGAAAATGACAGATCGATGTTAGCTAAATCCATTACGGCATGAATCCAAATCAAAATGAGCAGCCTTTTTCACAGAAGGAAAACAGTGTTTTTGCTTATTGATAACAGGGCGAGTTAATATTGTTCCACAGCATGTTCTGCGGTTATTTTACACCATAACGGTAAATAATACTGGCTTGGTCCATTGTGGGTTAAAACGAGACATTCTAGCACGTCTAACCGACATATTTCTATGTAGACCGGACAGGAAAACATTTGAACTTCTTCTAAATTATATTTTGCGTTGAATCGTCATAAACACATGCAGGCAGTAAAATGAGGATGTTGGATACTGATGTTGATATATTGTCAATATTTTTAAAGTCAAGATCTCATTGGCCTTTATGAAAACAACCGTTATTCTTACTTAAAATTAACCCGTGAAGGTCCGGGTTAGAATATCGATCTTCAGTAACCCATGCTTGTCGTAAGAGGTGACTAACGGGATTTGGTGGTCAGGCTCGCTGACTTGGTTGACACATGTCATCAGTTCCCAATTGCGCAGATCGATGCTCATGCTGTTGATCACTGGATTGTCTGGTTCAGACTCCATTATGTACATACCGCCACCATATATCTGGAATACTGCTGAGTGCGGCGTTAAACTAAACTCACTCACTCACTACTTAACAATCAGAAATGGTGAAAACAGAACTGATCGGAATAGTATTTCGAATAACAAATGTTATCCGTCCAAGAATAAGTCAACTATTTTGGATAATTTCCATCGCCAATTGGCATTTTACGACCATTGGTATCTGTTTTACGACCATTGGTATCTGACTGGTTGTTCTCTGGCATTGACTTTGTGTGTTCAGGATATCCATATAATAAATAGAAAATACTAAACGATGTCTGATACCATATTTATGAAACGAGTGAATGGTTTGGTATCTAACGAGCGAAAGGGAGTTAGATACCAATACCAAATATGGTATTATACGGGACATCGTTTAATATTTTAGTTATTACTCACCCACCATTAGCCGTCATAACAGGGGTCCCGCGTATGAATACATTTCATTTGATTGTCAACATTAGTTTATTTAATTTGACTGTTAAAAATATACAGGTGGGTATGAAAAAGGGACCAAATGACTTCAACCAACATATTATTTTTAAAATAAATGCTATTAACCGAGCTAAGAACAGTTGAATATCGCGGCTTCGAGATGTGTGTTGAATGACAGCCGACAGTTTGTTTTGATCACGTTACTTTGGTCATGTGACCGAATGCAAATAGTTCCGGCAGCACGCGATGTTATAACACAATGTGTAATAACATTGTAGATTTATTAAACGGTGCTATCTTCAACAGGTGAGTATTAATGTCATTATACACAGCCGTGTGTATACAAACTGACTAAAGAAGGTAGAAGCCAACGACAAGTGTTGCGGCGAAAAATCGAGACTGGTTATTCTCTGGTATTGCCGCTAGATATATATATATATACAATCAATGGGACGTGAAATGTTTTGGGGTATCACACTCAGTTGACGTTCTTTTAGGCCCCTCTGTTGCACTCTGATTGGTTTATTGTTTAACACCGCACTGAGCAATTATTTCAATCTGAGGAACCCAGTATATCTCTGACATATACTTTGAAAGATGTACGTTCCCTTTCGAGCGTTAACCAGTGTCCTCTCTCTTTTTCGTCGGCACTGAGCCACTAAATAGGTACATGCAGTTTTGTATTACATAATGCGAGTATCCAGTGTGTGCGTGCTTGCGTGCGTATGGGTATGCGTGCGTTCTGTTCATGGCTGTTTTATGTTTCACTTTCTTGCGCCAATTCTATTTACACAGACTCAATCCATCACGACAAATTCTAATATGATGCTTCGTTTTTTGTCAAAGACTCTCATATCTCTAAGTCTCTCAAGTGCGGGTCCTCCCAGCGTGGCGCTTCAGCTATTACATTCAAACTATACCCCAAGGCCGGAGATATGCCCGAATCCCTGCTTGATCCCCACGGAAACATAAATGTGACATTGAAATGTAGAATTTAATTGTTGGAAGGCAAAATAATCATCTTGACTACCCGTAAGCGTTATTTCTCTCTTGAATTACGTACATTTGGACACGACCTCGGGCAGTTAGCAATATACGTTTTGCTGAATTTAATTGGAGCAGGATAACAGGGGATACCCTCCTCATCATCGTAAAAATCCAGCATCTAAATCGGCCCTTTGGTAACTCTGTATCTGTCTGCGGGAATTTGATGGGCCCAAATTTACCACGTAAACTATTCCAGCCAAATTTCAAGAGGTATTACATAACATTACTCTCTAGCCGTATACACCATCCCGCCGATTTCTTCTGTTTGATCATAATATTTCTTTTTACAGAGTATTGAACTCAACAAACACTGGCAGTAAAATCTGATCAAACTTTTAAAAAATATCATGACTTCAATTTTATATTTTTTTTCAGGATACTTAGAGACTACATGGTTCTATCGCTTGTGCGATCTCTCAAGCCCTACTTTGATCCCAATACGTTTGAAGTGTATGAAGAGTCGGGTAAGTGGCGCGAGTGTTTTGATACTCGCTTGTTATACTGCTGTTACTGTAGAAACGCATGGGTGTCTGGTAAGGACAAGAAAACGAAGGGACTGAATGGTGGATATGAATATAATTTCTTCTTGTGGCGTTTCCATGGCAACGCAATGTAGTTGTATTACGGAGGGATTTTTTGAATGTTATATCGTTTAGAGACATTAAAATCTCTTCTTCAAACAACGTGAAATGCCAGAGTGTATTCATGTCGATACACGAGATATCCAGAACGCGAATAAGTTTCTTATTTTAGTATTTACGTAGATCGTCTTGGATTATATTGTGACGTAGATATATATGACCCTTTTGTGTCAAAAGTATTTAGATGTTATAAATGTTATTTTCAATAGTTCTTTTCATTAGTGCATGGATGTATTGCTGTAATTTTTTAAAGTAATTCGACCTATTCATATAAACGCACCAAGTGTCTCACTGGTCTATGTGTTTTGGAAATGCACGGTAGAATGGAAAATCTCTCAAATGCACAACTATAAACAAAACTAATTACTCTGAAATTAAACTTTAAGCAATAGATGGTTCATGTTGTCGAGGGCGGTGGGGTAGCCTAGTGGTTAAAGCGTTCGCTCGTCACGCCGAAGACCCGGGTTCGATTCTCCACATGGGTACAATATGTGAAGCCCATTTCTGGTGTCCCCCGTCGTGATATTGCTGGAATATTGCTAAAAGCGGCATAAAACTATTCCACTCACTCATGTCGGCGAAACTTTACCTTGTAGGTGCATTCAGGCCTCTTGAGAAATTGATAATAGAAGGTAACGTCTTGGCACGCTGCCCGAGTATGCAATGTTAAAACCTTTAATTTCGCTCTCTTGCTAATTATCAATATTAGAAGGTACAGCCAGGTACAGTTTGCTCTCGTTTAGTTTTTCGCTCATATTCCAACTGTGCATTTAGAACGTCACGTGTCATCATCAAACATCGGTTAGTTCCGGTAGTTTCCGGCAAAAAGTTTCCTACGTGTTATTTAATCACGGCTGTTATGTTTATTGTTTTCTATGGGATGCACATAAAGAAAGATTGACATACTATTTCAAGTCATCAATAGTTGTTTTTACCGAGAGGAACCGGAAACTACCGACACGAAGTTGTCCCACATTGTGATACATTTAGCTGGAAATTACGTGTATGTGCATGTGTTTAGTATTAATATGTTACCATAGTGACAATCACCCAGCCATTCTCCATTATGATCCGCCGTTCATTTTCAATAGTATCGTGCTCGTGGTTCATAGTTTTCGTGCAATGTCTATAAATAGCACTGTTCCCCTTTCACAAATGTTGCCTGTTTCAAACACTTGTGCATGTATTATACCAACTATACCAATGACCCTTTGAGCAAGTCAGTTTTGTTATAACTTCTACAATGAAAATATTCAATACAATGAAATATATAAATCATTTTCATTCAGTCACATCAAAACTAACCAGCGGATTCTTATTCCAGAAATTTGTGTTTTCTTAATTTATCCAATGCTGAATAAAAATGTATTTGAATTAAAATCGATTTTATATCTTAATAATGAATTTAATCTAACGGTTCTAATATTACTGTTATATTTATGTTTACAATGTTAACTGTTTATGCGCCTCTGAACTGCTTGTATGTAAGGCGCTATGTAAACGTATTTTTATTATTGTTACAATTATAATTATCATTATTGTTATTTTGTGTCATATGGCACTGTGTTGGCTGTAGATGTTTGCAAGATTCTTTGTTATTTACTTATTTCTTTTACGTTTGCAGAAGAAGAAGAAATGATTGAACACTGGAAGCGGTGTGCCTTCTACACGAATTCCGCCATGCAGTTTGCCACTGGGGCAATCTACGTCAGCGGCACTGCTCATGAAGAGAATGCAGAAAAGGTTGGATTTGTGTACCCGTGTAAAGCGGAACTCCGTTAATCCGTACCCTGTTACTTCCGAATTCCGAATTGCAAATGTTGCAGGCGTGTATGAAATGTGCCCTTTAGTGATCGGAAGCCTAAGACCCCACTTCGTTATAACCACCAGTTCGTTACAAGCATATTCGTAACAAAAGTAGTTTACTGAACACCAGGTTGTTTCATGATAATGATTCTGTCCATTGACTTGTTTTGAATTTGACAACAATATTACACATCCTCATATTTATGCTCTTTGTGTTACAGATTGAAGACCTGATTGTATATGTAAAAAGTGCATTCAAGGACTACCTGTTGAGAAAGTTCTGGATGGACAAAGGCACCAGAACAAAGGCATCAGAAAAGGTAGTTACTCTTTAACTTTCAAACTATTTTGGGTGCACAGATGAAGATTCTCTTGGCACAGGCGGTGGGGTAGCCTAATGGTTAAAGCGTCCGCTCGTCACGCTGAAGACCCGGGTTGATTCCCCTACAATGTGTGAAGCCCATTTCTAGTGTCCCCCCGCCGTGATATTGCTGAAATATTGCTATTAGCGGCGTAAAACCATACTCACTCACTCTCTTGGCACGGCCATATGTTGTGTAGAGTTGCATCCCTTTGATTGGTAGAATCTATATTTGTTTGTTTGAATCCCTGTCCGCACTTGTAATGATTCCTGGTTTGTCTGCACCGTGGTCATGGTTGTCCCCAAAGTGGTGACATCTTGCATCACTTCGGGATCTCCTCCCACATGAAGCCACACCCCGTGATAACTGAAATCTGCCCACAGGGGCGTTAAACCCAGCTTAAAACTGTTGTTTATCGTCAATATCTTGTTTCTGTTCCTTCACTTTAACATTAGAGGCGGTGAGATAGCCTGGTGGTTACAGCGTTCCCTTCACACGCCGTAGACCCGGGTTCGATTCCCCACATAGGTACAATGTGTGAAGCCCATTTCTGGTGTTCCCCGCCGTGACATTGCTGGAATATTGCTAAGAGCGGCGGAAAACCATACTCACACACTCACTTTTGTCGCTATAATATGTTTGTAACTATGGGAATGAATACAAAATATCATACCTAATAGTTCAATATTTTCATTTCAGATTGACCATATCATAGACAAAATCAGCTACCCCTTGTTTATTCTCAATGGTACTTTCCTGGATACCTATTATACGAATGTAAGTATGGAAACCTATTATCACATACCTTTTGAGATTTTAAAGTGAAAACCATTGTTCGAAGACATTAACAGGAAGAGAATAAAATAAATGTCCAAATTATACAGACGTTTTTAACAGCAACTGTACAGTGGATGTTTTGCGCACACCCGGTGTCATGACTGATTTCCTTCCGCCCATAGAATTTTCATTGCTTCTTTGCCATATTCGCCAAATGGGATTAGACAGATTACCTGGACTGATTAATCCCTGGATTATCTCGCTGGCGTATTCTACTCACTATAGAGATGACAAGACTTTATGGATGTTCAACTTCTTTATTTTAACAATGGCGACGGATTCGGTATAGATTCTTATACCGTTTTTTTAAGAAGGGGTAGGGGCGGTGGGGTAGCCTAGTGGTTAAAGCGTTCGCTCGTCAAGCTGAAGACCCGGGTCCCATTCCCTACATGGGTACAATGTGTGAAGCCCATTTCTGGTGTCCCCCGCCATGATATTGCTGGAATATTGCTAAAAGCAGCGTAAAACTAAACTCACTCACTCACTCAAGAAGGGGTACACCGGTTTATATATAAGATAAGATAAAGAGATAACAATAACAAAGCATGAAAGAAAGTTACATGATGAGCTACGATAGCATGGTGACGAGCTAAGATAACATAAATGAGATGAGTGGGATAACCAAGACAATTCGTGACTGTAAGTTAATTAGGCAGAAGCCAGGGTGGTGGGGGATTAATTCTAGAATGCCACTCAAACAAATTATACTCACTATGTGAAATATTCTTTAAGAACGTTTAGATAGATGAAAATAAACTTCAAAGCTATTTCTTATGACAGTTTTACACTTTCTTTCAATAAATGTTGATAAATTTTGTTTTTAATTCATGCACAGTTTACAAAATGTAAAGTTTGGTAATTCACAGTAATTATCCAAGTATGATTGCCGTGACGCTTGGCGCTAAAGCTAGAATCACACATTTTCAGTTTGAGGTTGTCGGGGACTGGTTCAAGAATATTCAAGCATGGCGGAAGTTCCAGCTGCAGCTTGCAAATAATCTGTTAAAAGAAAAACCCGACAGGAAAAAGAGGTAAGAATATAAATAGATTTGTACCGTTAGACTGGACGTGAGCTCTAACTGCAATGGAGTATCCCGCAACGAAAGTTATTAGAGTTACCTCCCTTGTGTAAGCTGAGAATTTCGTGTCCTCGTTTTACACATGTGCTAAGCTGCCCTGTCACTAGCGTCAGTTGTATTTAGTAAAAATATTAACACAGAATATCACCTTTAATCTGACTTCAGCGTGGCTCAGAGACACCTGTAACCAAATGACATTCATTCGTCTTGTTTGTTGTTGTTGTTTTTTAACGCAGCGATCCTGACCACCCTATCCCGTTAGTCGCCTCTTACCCAATATTAAGCCGGATCTTCAAGGGTTACCTAGATGTGTCAAACAAGGAGCTGAGTTACTGATATTTTTTGCAGCTGGCTTCGTCCCCCTGTCACAGTGAACGCTTTCTACTCCCCCACGAGGAACGACATCATCTTCCCCATCGCCATGTTCCATCTTCCCTTCTACATTCCAAATGGACCAAAGTAAGCACTGTAATCTACCGTTATAACCAAGTCAAAGAGACCACTAGCTTGAGTTCGTTATACGCATTTCGTTTAAAATATACAGCAAGAGATCGGGACATAAACCAGTTCGTTATATCCGTCAGTTCGTTATAAGCGTGTTCGGTACAACGTAGTTTACTGTATTGCCACTGAAACAGTAGCATATACGTCTTATCTATGGTTAAAATAAACACAGATATGAATTATATGCAATTATATCATCCTATATTTAAACTCTACGTATCTGTAACTATGTACAATAAATGTCTTATTTCCTTCCAGGTCCGTCAATTTTGGTGCTATGGGGTCCATCATCGGGCATGAAATTACACACGCATTTGACATACAAGGTATGGTTGATATATGTTTCGTTTATGTAAAGTTATAATATAATATAATATAATATGATATAATATAATATGATATACATGTAATATACATGAAATATACATGAAATATACATGAAATATACATGTAATATACTATACATGTAGTATAATGTCATATAATATACATGTAGTATAATACATAATGCAACACAGCATAATGTAATGTAATATATGTCATTTTTATGTAATATACATGGGAATGTCTGTCGGTGAATCTATATTTTAAGTAAATGCATATACTATGTAGCTGATATCTGTGTAATGTTTGCAGGTCGACAGTATGATCGAGTGGGTCGACTGGAGGAATGGTGGGATCCCCATACAGCTGCCAATTTCGCAGAAACCACTAAATGTATGAAAGGACAGTACCGACAATTCAACAGAGATGGTTACAGGGTAGGTTTTGTGTGTTTTTGTGTGTGCATGACATGCACATGACATACAGATGTAGTTGACATACAGATGACATACAGATGTAGCGTTTGCAATGGCAGTTGTCTTTTTTAAGCGAAGTTTGGAGAAAGTCGCCAAAGTTTGTTCTGTGTAATCGTCCCAAAGGGACACGAAAGGCCCAGTGGTACAAGTCTGAGCTATTCGATCTGCAGAGTTCTGACTCTTAATTGTACCAGCGGTTTGTCTGCTCCAAACTCGCTCAGTGGCAACCATCTCTTTATCCTTTTCCTGTTTTGAGCTGACAACCAGTTTGATTACTCTATTCTCTGCCTGATGAATCATATTTTGAATTCTTTTACTTTTCTCCTCAGGTTAACGGGACCTTTACATTAGATGAAAATATTGCAGATAATGGAGGGCTGCGAGCGGCTGCCTTTGTGAGTAGATGCACTGAGACCTAGCGAAAACAGTTAGTTCTTAATATGTATTGCAATAACATGAGCGAAGTAGCAATACGCGATCTTTATGAAACATATGTCATTTTATTTTTTCACGTGTCACAAGCAGAAGTGTAAACAAGGTGTGTATAGGGTGCGTGTATAGGGATTGGGTGGGTGGCTTTATTTGTTAACTAATTCTTGGAAAGGGGTGCCGGCAATACTAAGGACATGTCATCAGTCACTAGATAACATTTTTTTTGTTATTTTCACTAGCGACCGATAGATCATGGTATTTCATTACTATATGTATAGTAAATAGATGTATTATGACAATTCGACCTTTACATTGAAAACCCAACAGTAAATATACTGAATTACAGATTCGAGCTATCGTTTAATTATTTGCACACAATATAATTATTAGATTATTAAATGCTAAAATGATAATTTTGTAACAATGTCCATACAATTAGCCTGATGTGAACACTCATGTCCCCAGGCATATCACATGTGGGTGGATGAGAATAAAGAAGAGACGCCTCTCCCTGGGCTGAATCTGACTCACAACCAGGTCTTCTTTGTTAGCTTTGCACAGGTAAGTCGTCCAGCATACGACCTCTAAACCTCTCCATACATGATAGCTTGTTCTATGTGCATCTGTTACTGTTTATTGCAAGGGTGGGTGGCGGGTAGCCCAGTGGTTAAACCGTTCTCTCGTCACGCCGAAGACCAGGGTTCGATTCCCCACATGGGTACAATGTATGAAGCCCAATTCTGGTGTTCTCCGCCGCGATATTGCTGGAATATTGCTTAAAGCGGCGTTAGTCCATGCTTACTCATTCACTCATTGCAAGGTATTACAAGTGTTGATGCAAAGAAGCTATAGTGTAACCATAATCCCCTCATCCAGTCATAGAATCAATTGCTATACCTATCACAATGTTTGTTTCTTGTTTACCGCCGCACTCAGCAATATTCCAGCTATATGGCGGCGGTCTGTAAATAATCGAGTCTGGACCAGGCAATCCAGTGATCAACAGAATGCGCATCGATCTACGCAATTGGGATACGATGACATGTGTCAACCCAGTCAGCGAGCCTGACCACCCGATCCCGTTAGACGGCCCCTTACGACAAGCATGGGTTACTGAGGATCAATTCTAGCCCGGACCTTCACGGGTGCTATCACAAATGTGTTATTAATACCATCTCCCTCCCGACATTTTTAATCAGTAGAATAGAGATCTAACGGACCAAATTATTTACAAGCATGTAACTAGGAGAGAAAGATATTTCCAGACGTTTCACGTCTTTATATATGTATGCTTTTCTCAAAGGACATGTTTTGTGATACAAATGTTTGATTTCCGTTTCAGATGTACTGCTCAAAATATACGAATTATGGCTTATTGCATCATTTAGTCACAGATCCACACAGTCCAGGGTTTGCGAGGTGGGTGTATATTTCCATGTTGATTGTAAACCTCCAAAACGCCATTCAAAGGAATACCCATTAGAAAGACATTTTGGCTATGACTGACGACTCGTCCTTGTGGTAATGCATTTAATGTGATAGAAAAACAAGTAAAGGATGTTGGTGGGTAGCATTGTGATTAAAACATCAGCTTGTCACACTGAAGACCCTGGTTCGATTCCCCACATGGGTACAATGTGTGAAGCCTATTTGTGGCAATTTTGCTAGAATATTGCTTAAAGCAGCGTAAAACCATTCTGACTCACTCATTCATAGCAACTATGATCTTTTTAAATGACAACAATCTTACTTGTGTCCTTTGGCGATGGTGCCTATATTCCAGTCCTAGTTTAACTTTTTAATTTTTTTTCATCATTATTATTTTTCATTTTTATTTATTATTATAGGAAAGCTCCATTTTATTGACCAGGCACAATAATAAAATCGGGTTCCAGCTTTAAAGACAATCAGTTATTTTAGTAGACAGGCGATGACAAACAATTACACGTGTTTTCAATCCTCTTTTGTAAACGGCTATTTGTTAAATTAAATTAAATTTGTTACAATAATTGTTTTCTGTTTGTTTTCAGGGTCAACGGCGTTTTAGAAAATTTCAAGACATTTTCTTGGGCATTCGACTGTCCAAATGCTGCAAAAATGAACTCCAGAATAAAGTGTGAAGTGTGGTAATATCGTATCCATGCTTTACGAACGTCAGAAATATGAACGCTACACGATGCTTAAAACTGATTAAGTAAACTTCATTTGGACTTCACTCGTTTCCTTTAGTTTTAATACTTACATGAAAATGGACAGCGAATACATTTTTATTAGAATTGAAGAGATGATATGGCCATGTAAAAATAGAGATCAAACTGATAAACAAGAAATTGTATGGATATTATGAGGTGTAGTGGCATATTTCCCAAGATATATACGGCTATGTTGGTTGGGGATCTTTGAGATTGTTTCAGCAACATTATAAAGTTTTCGCCATGCAATGCTCATTAACTGCTTACGTAAATCCTGGTTTTAAGGCATCGTGCTAGCGCTCATCTAAAGCAACAGCATCATGTGATATGCAGTCTTCATGTCTTCCAGAACGAGGCCACCGCCATATTGCCTAAGCTAGAAAATGACGTCACGTGATGTTGATTTATGTAAATGTGCGTCACGTGATCGGTCAAGCCGTGGTCTGCAGTATGTCCTAGTCCGTTGGCGCGAATGTTATGTGTGATCTCTGTCTATGCTTATCTTAAAAATATTCTTGTTTATGAATGGTTTGGCCATTTGTTTGTACCCTTCGGGTGATATACAAAAGCATGAAAGATGCTCCGTCATGTGATGTAGAATTTGATTAAGTTGAAATGAGTAATTTGAGGTTATGTAAATAGTAATAAGGTTTAAACGGAGGTATTTAGTTACCACAAATTGGACCTTCTGATGTAGATAATAGTGTTTTACCTATTGTTGTTTGTGTTAACTCACAAAACGCATTGTTTCAATGTTGGTGTTCATCAGTACAATCTTGCTTTAATCCTCCTTGTCCAGAGGTCAACGTCAACTTCACGTAAGTCTCGACTGACCATGTTCGTGTTCAGTGCTATGTGATTTACACAGTATAGAATCAATACGGGGCAAAAAAGTCCATAGATATATTTTCATTTTTCGTAAATTATGTTTTACGAGAATTTCAATTTATCGATTTTCCTTCACATATTCATCACACGAATGAAATGTTATAAAATTGTAAATAAACTTTTTTCTTGAACATGTTAACTTTGATCATTCAACATGACATTTGTACATAGAATTCACTATATGTCAGTTCTACTGTTACCGTATAGTTTCTAGTTTATGAACACTTATCATATTTCCTATGCATGGTTGTGACCTCCAAAAGACCTATTTTCCTACAACGATATGCAATATTATAAATGGAACGCGTTGCCATGGCGACAATAAGCTGATGTCATAAATTAAACTGTCCTTGTTGCCATGACGACACTGTTTCCATGACACTTAGTTGACGTCGTCGTGACATTAAGCTGTCCCACTAGCCATAACAACACCTCACTCTTGTTTCCATGACGACCTCTAGCTATTCTTGTTGCCATGACAACGTTAAATTGGTCATTTCGACGTTGATCTTTCCTAGTTGCTGTAATGTTTCAGTTTCATAATTGGTTATCACTATACTTTACAATTCATTTACCGTCTCGAATGTTATTGACATTTTTCTTTAATTCATATGAACTTTAAAACATATTGTACGTACATGAGTTTCCATGTTTATACACATTCTTGATTGCTGTTTATTGTAAAGCAAAACGTTCTTGAAAATACATGACTTTGAAGATCTGTATGCTTATAAAAGGGATATGGTTTGTGTGTCATTCGTAACTATGCCAGGTCAGTTTGCAAGCATTACAAGATGCCGTTTACACTTCAGCGTGCATCGTGTTGCAGTTAGTTTCCACTGATATCACCATCAAGGCTTTCAGTATTTCATTGCGGAGTTTACTATTAGCAAACATTATTAGAGAGTCATATTACAATGATTTTAAGACACCTTTGTGAGAGCGTATCGTGTATGAGTGAGTGTGAGAGGATGATATTGGTTGTTATATAAGGTTAACATTTTTTACTTCAAATAAATGCTATTTTTATTAAATAATATTGTTGTGTTGTGAATTGGGAATTAGAGGGAGGTTTTATTAGAGGTTTGATATACGCCACCCGAAGCTTCCACCCGCATCACACTATCAGGAATGGAATTTTCGCATTAGACCCTTCTTACAGTAAATACAAAAACCTCAACGCCAGAAAATTTTCAATCTCGATTATCAGCCGAAAGAAATTCCATTGGGCGTTAAAAAATAGGGGTGAAAAATTGTAAAACAGATCACCGAAAGTCCATGACGACACAAATTGCTCACGAAAAGGGCAAGCATATGGTAGTCTAGCGGAAGCGCCATCTGGACAGTCAGCTAAACTGGTGCTTTTACGTATACAGTAGAGAAAGTGGTCAAATGTAGCATATGTTAAATGTGTGATTACACTTTCTCAGTACAGTATAGATTCTAGTACTTTTGTTAGGTTGAGTCCCATCTGGGATTCGAACCCTCAGTCTTAAGGCGATGGCCGAGTGAGTTAGATGGCTGACTTTGTATGTTGAGGATTAGGTGCCTGACTCGGAGAGTCAGTGTTCGAATCCAGAATGGGATTGTGCCCATTGTTGGGGATAGAACCCTGGTCTTCTGCGTGACGAAAGAGCGCTTTAACCTATTTAAATAGAACTAACATGAAACGTCAGTCAACAAATCCACAATGCATAAATGCAAAACGAGCAGCGCGCAGAGCGTAAAGGCAGTTTAGAGCTAAGCACTCTGATTATCACCGCGCAATTTATTGTAGACAGAGGAATGCATATAAGACTTGTTGTAGAACATATAAATCTGATCTCGCTAAAGAACGACTAGATAATCTTTGTAAATCTTCAAAATCTCCTTCAAAATTTTGGAAACAAATACGATCGCTATAGAAACGGGAAAAGATAGCTTCTCCTATTTCTAAATCTGAATGGCTCGGACACTTCAAAAATCTATTTGCAAATACTGATATATTCAATGACAATGCCACTACAATTGAAGATGATACCATATACTCCGATTACGATGATAGCGTTGATGAACAAGTGTTAGATTCTCCAATAACAGAAACATTTAAAGAGGGTGAAAGCAGCTGGACCTGATAATGTTATTATAGAAATGTTAAAATGTTCGCAAAATGCTTCAATTACCTTTTAACAGCGGCACTTTTCCCGCTAACTGGTCACGTTCTATCATTATTCCACTGCATAAAAAGGAGACTCGAGTTTATTAGGGAAGATATTTACAACAATATTGAACAATAGGATATCCCAGTGGGCAAATATGCGCGATAAAATTCCAGAAACACAAGCAGGGTTTAGAAAAAAACTACTCCACGACTGATCATATCTTTACTTTATATATGCTATTATTAAAAAATGTCTATCACTTAGAAAACATAAATTATATGTTGCATTTGTAGACTCGATACAGCTGATAGGTTCAAACTCTGAAACTGCTACAGAAATACTGGCCTCAGGGGCAAAATGTATTCTATGCTGAAGGAAATGTACTCAGACATAAAGTCATGTGTCCGTTGTGAGACGGGTACAACAGACTATTTTGATTGTCCTATAGGTTTGCGACAAGGTTGCATCCTCAGTTCCATCCTATTTTCATTCTTTATCAGTGACTTATATAATGATATTGCTTCTTATGGAAAACATTGTATTCAACTGTGTCCAGATTACTTAGAAATTCTAAGGCTTCTCTTCGCAGATGATGTGATTTTACTATCAAATACAGTGGTGGGATTACAAAGACAACTTAACATTCTAGATAATTAAACTAAGGAATGGAAACTCTCAGTAAATCTCGATAAAACCAATGTACATGTAGTTATTGTTTGGAGGGGTGGTCAAATTTCTCAAAAAGATAAATGGTTTCTTGGTAATCAACTTGTGAAAACAGCTGATTGTTACACGTATCCCGGTGTTTGTTTTTATCATACCTTCAATATGAAAAAAAGTGTTTATGATCTCTCCCTACGCGCTAAGAAAGCTCTTTTCCAGTTAATACCGGTTATTTACATGACTGGAATGTTAACACCATGCCTATTTTTAAAAAAACAAATATGCCCAAATACAACCAAATCTATTATATGGTTCCGAAATGTGGGGATTTCAACGTTTCGATTGTTTAGAAAAACAACAACATTTATTAGCATGTAAAAGATCGTCAACACCGAATATTATGGTGTATGGGGAGCGCGGGAGATACCCACATTACGTAACTTCACAGATAAGAGACCGCCTCCGTGGTGTAGTGGTTAGAGCGTCCGCCCGGAGAGCGAAAGGTCGCGGGTTCGATCCCCGACCGCGTCATACCAAAAGACGTTAAAATATGGTACTTGCTCGGCATTAATAGGTACAACAAGGACTAGTCGACTTGGAGTCAGTATAATGTGTCTGAGTGGGGTATTCATGCTTCACTGCGGCATGGTATCTCAGTGGGCTAGCACTAGAAAACCAGTTTCAGTCTGGGCTAGTACAAGCAGCCGCACATACACACGCATGCACGTCGTCATATGAGTGAAATATTCTCAAGCATGACGTTAAACCCAATTTCACCTCACCTCACAGATAAGATGTTTAAAATTCTGGCTTAAAATTTTAACATGCCTAACCATCGCATCCCAAAACTGTCCTATAATATGTTGGTTCACTTAGATAGTATTGGCAAAGTAACGTGGGCATCAATTTTAAGATATTTATTATTTTCTCACGGTTATGGGTATGTCCGGTTAAACCAAACCGTTGGTCATATTGATGTTTTTATTAATGGTTTTCTCAATGGAGCTATTAATATGTTTCACCAGGAATGGCAGTCAAGTTTGAATAATAGCACACGCTATGATTGTTATAGAACATTTAAAACCTGACTACAACCAGAAATATATTTATCTATACTTAGATGCAGCGATTTAAGGTATAAGTTTATAAAATTTAGACTAGGTTTGCTAAATTTGATGGTAAATTAAGGAAGAAAAATGTCCATTGAGAGGAATCAAAGAATCTGTCCATTATGCAAAGAAGTAGTAGAAAACGAAATTCACTTCACTTTTATCTGTAAATCGTATGCTGACATTAGACAGAAATATATACCAGAGTATTACCTGTCAAAACCTCCCGATGTCGCTTTTAAATTACTATTATGTTCTTGCCATGAACAAAATATTAGAAATCTGTCATTGTTTATAAAACACTCCAGTAAGTTAAGAGATGAATTGCTGAAAAATTAGTTACAATTGACTTGTAAAACAATACTTATGTATAACTCTGTAAACTGTATGTGGGCCGGAGGCCTTGAATACAATAACTTTCTTGTCTTTTCTTGTCTTGTCCACCTGGTTACCCAATCGCTCCAGAATATATGCTTAGAATATTGCGTTAGGTAGACATAACATTAATGTGTCGACGATGGTGATGGCAAGAAACGTAAAACAATAAATATATATTGAAAGGAATCAAGCATTACCCCGACATTAAACGTTGTGGCGGCGGTTGGATAGCCTAGTGGTTAAAGCGTTGGCTCGTCATACATCAGTAATAATTAGTGATTATCACAAACAATTTTCTTTCTTTTCGTCATATAATTTGTTACAATTCTCGATGAAATTTTGGGCTAGATTATGGGGCGCTTCTTTCACTGTTTGATAGTACAATACTTCAGTTCACAGGCCTACCAAAGTGCATTTCTCAGGCGCCTCTATCACTTTAAGCAGCATAGAGAATTACTCAAGGAAGAAAATCAGTGCAATAAAATAGATTCGCACAGGAATATATATATGAAAAACTCTAGCAGCTAAATGATATGTGAAATATAAATATAATGTCATTGCCTAAACTTAAACTTAGTCATTGTAGCAGCCAAGGAAACGCAGCAGCGACCGAACACACAACCCGAACGAAACAGAAAAGTAAACCAACAACCAAACAAGTGAGTGACTTTAGTTTTACGCCGCTTTTAGCAATATTCCAGCAATATCACAGCGGTGGACACCAGAAATGGACTTCACACATTGTAGCCATGTGGGTTATCGAACCCGGACCTTGGGTGTGACGACGAACGCTTTAACCACTAGGCTACCCAACCGCTCCACAACCAAACAAACCTGAAAGAAAGTCCTCCCAGTGCGGTTCTCGATTACGTTTGCAACTGATAAACTGCGGCGTCATGCCACAGATGAAGCATTACAGACGGTCGACTGAAAGCAGGAGAATCAAAGCTGTAGACGGTGTATTCGGTGTGTTCCAGATCCATAGGGTACTAGGGTACTATACGTCAGGTCGTACAGCAGCTCTCCAATACATTTATCATTTGAAGTATTGCGTCGGAATATCTGGCCAGCTAGCATGGTGTTCATGAGACAGCCCTTAGAACAAGATGGCCGTGATGGAACTGGAGTGTCAACTCACCATCACTGGAAAACTGACTGGTGCAGCGACGGGCCAATATTTATGCTGCATCTAGCCGATGAGAGTGATTGAGTGAGTGAGTGAGTATGGTTGGACGAGTTTATCAGGAATAGACAAAAAAACACGTCATTAATGAACTGCCCCCATGAGGGTGTTTTACCCACTATGGTGGAAACTATCACTTCATTTGGACCTGTTTCAGAGATGTGTTCCTTGATCGTGTCAGTGGTGGGGCAAAGCTAAGACATGGCTAAACCTGTTCTTGTCTTTTGGGGAAAAGGAGAGGGGATTAGCCAAAGCCAATGTAACACCTTATATTCACTGCCACGCACCGTCATACCTGCCAAAGGGGCGGTGGGGTAGCCTTGTGGTTGAAGACTCGGGTTTAATTCGCCACATGGGAACAATGGTGGAAGCGTTGGCTCGTTACGCCGAAGACCCGGGTTCGAATCCCCACATGGGTATAATGTGTAAAGCCTATTTCTAGTGTCCCCCGCCGATATTTCTGGAATATTGCTAAAAGCGGCGTAAAACCACACTCACTCACTCATACCTGCCAAAGTTGGACCTCTGCGTCAGTTTAGTTGCCAGTGTATGGTAAAGAT